GTTCCTGGCTCTTTTCTGAGGCATACTTAAATATTTCAACTCGTGTATCAAGGCAGTTACTGTTACTTTTCAAGTTATGACAGAGAAATTATGAACTGAATGAACCATTTTATCGATTGTGTTAAGATTTTAATTTTCATTCCAGCACCTTCCGCCTCTCATACTCAGACTTTTTAACATAAAAATTATTCTTGTTTCTCTCAACAATTAAATTGAAAGACTTTTTATTTCAAATTTTAGCTTATTTTATTTTATCGTAGCTGAATAGTTTTAAATTCTAAATGTCAGACCAACGCTTGTGGATGTCAGTTGGGGTTATTATTTAAGGCCAGGTTCATCCACAACTCGTGTTGTTTTTCTAATTTTATTTATTTAAAAAAAATATTTATAAATCAAAGTTTTTTTTATGCCGGCTATTAAAATCGCTGCTAAAACACGTCCCTTTTGTTGGTGAGTGACACGATATATGTAAAATGAATCATCTGAAAGCAAAAATCAAAAAAATTTCTTAAATTGCATCACATTGGCTATGACTGGAACTACAATGAAACAGTTAAAAAAAAAGACGAACTCTTAAATTTTTTACCTTTTTTTTTAATTTTAATTGTTTATAAATATTTTAAAAAATAATGAATATTTTTGGTTGTAGTACCGACCAAAGAGAGACATTTTAGGAGTAAAATGCCGTTTAGTTCATGTTGATAAGCTCGATGCTTCTAAATATGAGTTTCACCCAGTTGAAAAAACGTTGCTTCGACTAAAAGGCGATTAAAGTACTCAAGCGGCCGGATTTACCGCTTGGCGTGCCTCGCACTCCCATCTTTTATACTTATTTCTTGGTTTTGCTTCGGGACAAATTCTATTTTATTTCTAAGAGTATTTTCTAGCAATTTTGAGTCTGTGAAATTTTTTTAGAGGCCTTACGATAAACGAACTTGAAGCCAAAATTAGGCACACTTCTATGACCTGTACATATGTACATACTGTATACATTGTTTTAGTTTAACTCAGAAAATAACCATAATAATAATTGAAAAAACTTCAAGTTGAATATCTTAAAAGTGGTAAGATCAAAAATTTTCAAGTGAAACTGCTTTATAAAATTCTTGTATCATTATTGAATCCGAACAAATCTCTTCAGTGACGTTAATTTAAAAATGGCGGTCTGCTATGACATTACCATTACATTATCTGTTAACAAATTAACATTAAATTATCTGTTAACGAATTAACATTAAATTATCTGTTAACGAATTAATATCAACGCCAGCATTACGTTTTCGTAAAAAATTAAATAAAATTTATTTCGATAATTGCTTTAATGTGAATATTTCTGTTTGTTTTCTGTTGTTTTAACCGAATCGACTGAAATTCGTTACGTTGCTGCTTTGATATGTATGCACAAATATGGGCATATGTTTGGATTGATCCGAATCATCAGCACATTTTATGTGTATATTGACATTTTTTTCCTAAGGGAAATTTTACACTAAAATGATTTATTATGGGGGAAGTTAGTATGATGATTTTCAAATTTTTCTATTACTCATATAAAAGTGGGAGTCTAAAATAAAATTTAATAAGAACATAATAAGAACATTAAAAAAAAAAATAAAGTTATGTATAATTTGACTTTCACAAATACAGTTGTTTGTTAGACATAAATACATAAATACATACTTATTTGCATTCAGTTGCCTCAATTGATAAGAATCAAATTATTGTAGAGATACATACATACATATGTAAATACTTAAGAATAAAAAATAACATGAGGTTAGGCGAACTATTCTAAACCTATCATTCAAAAGCAACAGAAGCAACAACAATTTATGCAAATTTATTTACCAATATTCTAAAATTCACATACATACATATATGTATATATATGTATCCTTTTTTTTTGCAAGGTATATACATTCATAGGTGCGTTTTAATGGCAAACCTTAAGGGAATATATAAATAGGTTACTCTAGAGAACATTAACATACAACACCCAAGTAGGAATTAAGCATGAAGGAAAAATTACCAAGTTAATTTACTGAAGTAAACAGATTTACATACATACATACATACATACATACATACATAGGTGTAATAAGGCAATAAAAGAACTTCGCGATTGCAATGTATAAGAAAATATAAATAAAATATATAACATAGCCTTAGAGATGAATATCAATATATTTTTTCATATATAAAAAAAAAATGAATTGAAATAACTAGCCAAAAGTTAAGCTAATACCCAAAAATTATGTTTTCATTATGTATATCGATGCGTTATATAATAGTACAGTTTTAGTAATATAAAATATATACATAATTAATATTTAAGGAATCGTAAAATAATTTAGTACGAAGCATAAATGGTAGTTATATGCTACTATAAATAAAACAATTTTTCTTAAAAGCTACTTTTAACGTATTTGTTTTATTGAAAAACAAAAAAAAAAAAATAATATATATATAAACTAAGATTAAAGATATACTGCCGTTCAAAGGTAAATACTTTATGATATGCACAGCCATTGGGCAAATATAGGTTCAAACAGAAATTTGGTAAGTCGAAAAAATTCTGACTGAATCCATATCTTATACAAAGGTAATGTAATAGACAAAATATGCCTGCCCAATTATAAAAAGGCAAGGCCCCACAGACTGCGCCAAATACCGTGGAATAAGCCTACTTAATATCGCATAGAAGGTCCTATCGGCCATTTTGTGTGTAAGACCCACCGTCAACTGATTGGCAAATCCACCATTAACCAGATATTCACCATGTGCCAGGTTTGATGCACACCACCCCTTCCGCGATTTTAAAGAAACCTTCGGCAACAGGAATATGAGCTTCCTTTACGCCGCTATGTCTGAATTTGGTATCCGCGCGAAACTTATAGGGCTATGTACTTTATGCTCCGTCGTGTGACTTTTTAAATTTGACGTTGGAGAAAATAATACAAGTTGCAGAACTAAATAGAGAAGGTACAATCTTCTATAAGACTTTACAGCTGTAGCTGGGAACTCGGCTTTCTCCGGACTGGAAAAAAAAGGATATAGGTCTAGTATTGAACAAGGAAAATATGAAATATCTTCCGGCATCAAACAGTCGCGACTCGCCTCCCCACCACTGTTGACTGTCATAAATACCTTCGTTTATTTCGAAACCAGCATTAATACCAAAGAAAATGTTTGCCTGGAAATCCAGCGCAGATTTACGCTTGCCAACGGGTCCTACTTTGGATCGAGTAGGCAATGGAGAAGTAAAGTATTCTCTTGAGGAATAAAAACCACACTCTACAAAACGCTCATCATGGCATGGACGATGACAACATCTGATCTGATGAGTTGTAAGTTTTTTGGTGAGATTGTGGTCATGGCCATGTGGACTCGATGGAGTATACGCCGGTGGAAGCAGTGGAAGAGGAAGACCTCCACTTCATTGGGAATACCAGGTAGAGAAGAACCCGTTGCTGTACTCGGTATTTCCAATTGACGCCAAACACTGATAAGAAGAAATGCATGGCGGCTGTTGTTAACCAGGCAATTAATATTTAATTATTATGTAGTTGTTGCTGGTCCTATTGTGGACACTTAGACGATGTTGGTTGACGGTGTGGAAAATTTTGTCACCGTCAACCAACAGCCGAGTTCATTGGCATTCTTTCGGTTGATTCGTGTATAGTTGATCGCTATTCCATTCAGAACAAACGTACTTGAATATTCCAACAATATCTAGCATATATTCTGAAACACCGCCGATTCAAACCCTCTTCCCTGAGTGCGTGCAGTTCTTTATCTCGCAACCCATATACCTTGCCTACTGTTTTTAGCTTCCTTATCCGGAAATACATACACTTCAGATCATATGCTAGTCTATAACCACAAGAATATACAATACATATTCGTATCCCAGTGTTCTCATAAGTAAGAGGCCCGCGACATACATTGTCTGTAATGTCTTTTTGGTCTTAGTTTTGGAACAGTGCATTTTAACTTACATGATCGCCGAGACATGGCATCAGCATTTCCGTGGTCACTTCCCTTCCAAAGCTCCATAAAGAAGTCATAGCTCGGACACTCGGTCCCTACGTCAGCACGTCTTTTATAACTTAAACAAAAGTTTCACCTGGAACGAGGTACGCCAACATAGGTGCAGACTCTTGTATCCCGTTTAGGGTCTGGAAAGATTCCTTCTTGTTGCGCTTAAAGATAAATTTTTCTTACTGTGCTAAAGAAGGCTGTAGGCATTTCTGGCAAGGTTTGGACCGAACCGACGGTAATAAGAGCATAATCCTGGGAAACTTCTAAGTTTCTGCAAACTCTTAAGAGCCTCAATATTTTCCTCTGTAAGCGAACGCGCTTTTCTGTAACTCTATATCCTGGGCAATTCACTTTCTCTTAAAGCAACGAACACGTTTTGGGACTGGGCCGGTAGTGGACGCGAGAGACATCACGTTTAGCTAATGGAGCATTTCTTATCCTTCCACTTCGATAAAAATATCAAGCGATTCATTGTGTTACCGTTTGTCAGTTTTTATATGTCGAGAACATGACATAATTCGCTCTCAAACACTTTTCTGTTGAATTAAGTATACGAGTGGTGCGAATTACGATTGAAATAGCGAACAACGTAATAGGAATACCGTGGAAAAACCACAAACAGTTACCAGCGTCCGCTTCACTAATGTAAACGTAAACGTTACGAGTGTATGACCTTACCGAGCATGATCTGATAAAATTATTTTTTTTCCTAGAAATCGCTTCTCTCAACTAAAACAGTGATTCCAATAAATACCATTTAAATTTTCCTAAAAATAATTAAAACTTGCTGTTTATGTAAATGATTTTATTGCTTTGGTTGGGTTTTGGTTTTTATTTATATAATATGTAATTTGTACCAACTCTTACTCGCTTCCGAAAAGCCGTGGGATTTTGGTTATATGTCAGAAAAACAATCGGAGGTCTTGACATTCCCTTCCGAGGGACAACCGCATTAGAAAGTTAGTACTGGATCTTGGTTAATCCTAACCATTCGGTGATTGCGGCCGCCACTAGTGAATTTTAAAAAATGTTCGGTAGTAAGTATTTTAAATTACTCTTCTACTATTATTGGAGATCGATAATTTGATTTTAAGCTTCGACTTATATATGTTACGAGGAATTTTAGGGAGGTGTTTATCAAATGAAAATTAAATTTAGGTAATTAACGGACATTTGCGTACTTTTGGCTTGCTTAGCTTTGTCGTCGAAGTTCAATTTTTTAAGCAAGAGCAAGTTAGTTTATGTGAACCATCCTTAGGTTGCTTGGTTGGTAACGCAGTTCATCTTCGAGATATTGGCAACAGTTGGCAACACATGCAATAAAATACGTTATATGTCCGAGAATTTGTGGGAATGTTGAAAGTTATAAAACTTGGATTATTTTAATAAAATTTCTACTTGGATAATAAAAGAAAAAAATTGACGAATTTTATGAAGGAATAAGTCAATGAAGCAAAGTTAAGTAAGTTCTTTAAATTGGTTTAGCATTTTATTATTCAAACGTGTATATGTGGCCTGTTTTTTTCTTTTTTTGCAGTAATGGGAATATTTACTAAAATTTTAATTGGACCAGCATTTTAAAGCCATAATTTACAGAAATTTTAGTCCATCTCTTATTAAAGCAACTTCTGTATTGGCTTTGACAGCAGTAAATGAACGCGCCAAACCCCGAGCCAGTGCATTCGCTTTTGATTTAGCAGTTAAAACAATTTGTGCAATATACGATTGTTGCTAATTCTGTAATTAAAAAAATCAAATGCAACATAATGCTTTTTGGTAGATATTTCATAAGATAATCTAATTTTCAACGGTACATTTCCTAGTGAAACAGCTATAAATTATTTGTCGATCATTTCCGGCAGTTTATTATCTTCCAGCATTTCCGTTAATCGGCTTGAGAATCACTTTTGTGCACTGACGAATGCATGGATTATATTTGTCAATATCTAATAATATTCGTAAAATAGAACGAAGAAATTAGTGAAAGTCAGTAGTTGAATTGAAATCGTAAACGGATTGGAAACAAACAAACCTAAACAACGGTTGAAGGAAAAAAATGTTATGAAGGTCACGGTAAGACGAGTAAAGTTAAATACTTATGCATATATACATACATAAAAAGTATTAGTATACATACTATGAACAACATTTCCTTTAATTTTAATCTTCATTAGAATTTGAAAGCCATTAAACAATTGGAATAAGCTAAATTTAAGGAGTTCTTTGTTAGATTATACAACTTATTTAAGTTAGGTTGAAGTTGAGCAAGTACAAAGTTTTTGGCGTTTAGGGACCTCATAAGATACATAAAAGAGATTTGTTGATCTGCATAATGTTGTCACAGAAATACCATTTAAAAGTGGAGTATATATATCAATACGTTACAGATGTGTTATACTCAACGCACCTGCCTAAAGCCAAAGCGCATGCGTAGGATTAGGTTGCCTTACATCGCCCATTGTATTTTTTTAACTTCTCTAAATACATATGTGTGTCAAAAGTAATGAACAAGAGAACAGGAAGTAAGTACAAAAATTAATGTGGATCAGTACTGGAAACTGTATGTTTAGTGGTTATGGAATTTTAGTTCCTAGCTCAATTCGATTTGAATTTATATGTACCTGTTACTTTGTTATTTTTAACTGATAGCCACTCCTAAGTTTTGGATAAATAATTATAAGATCGCTTTCCAATAAACGCCACTCTTATACTTCTCATGCCTTCTTCCCATTGAAAAGTGATTCCGTTAAGTGTCATTTTACATAAACGCTTAGTTTGAAATCGTTGCTCTCGTTCTAATACATTCTTAACTACAATATACGTAGATATTTTAATTTTTAATATATATTTTTTGCTAACTCTATACTTAATTTTTTTTTTTTTTTTGATACAGGAGATATGTTTTATTTATATAAAACGTTATCAAATTTTAATGTCCACCCACCTGTATAACTGGTATATGTAATTATGTAACTAACAGTATGTATATAAAAATTAATATTGGAGCCTTACACAAAATACGAATCGAATATATCGATTTTTAAATGAGTCAAGTAGGCTCAGTCTGTAAATCTAATCCTAATTAGAAAATTTTATTATATTTTTTAGCTACCTACATACATATGTATGTTATTTTTTTCGTATTCGTGAGGAGTTAGTCGAGTTTTTTTATTGTTACTGAAATCTTTCATAAAAATGTGAATACACAACAGGCAATACACATATTCCAAAATATTTGTGTAAAACATACATAATCAGCGGAATTATGTACCGCTACAATAATAACAACTAATATATGTTTGTGATTTTATAGATCAGCATTCCGTGGTGAAAAGAAGAACTCTAACAAAAGTAATCGTCACAAAAAGATTCAATAAAAACCTAAAAATATTTTTTTTTTAAATGGATGGGTATCTGGTTGAAGCAAATCGAATCCAATTCATATTCCGGAGAGTTTTAAAATTTTTTTTTTTAAATAATATTTCCTTACAAAATCATCAAGTCTAAAATTAGTGAAATTGAATGTTAAGCTGTTAAGTTGCTGGTTGAAATTGATTTTTAAATAAAAATGTATGCATTAATGAGTTACAACGATTTTATTATAAATAATTATTAATAATAATTGTAAATAGTAATAGAATCTTCACTATCACCATTATCACTATCAATATGTATTATAGAACAAAGTCCTCCTTTACCCGCCTTACAAAGCGCTTACTGGATTTTTATGACGTTTTCACCAATATATATCGTGATTCTTAAGAAATTGAGAGAAAGAGGTTAAAAGATTTTGAATTTTCCATTGAATTAAGGCGATTAGTCCTGTTAATGTATTTGTTGTTGTTTTTATAACCTCAAAAAATACATCCCAAAGCCGCGTGGCAGGTGGCAGGGCTGTTGAAATATTTTTACTTCAAAGTACGAGAAATTTTCTTGTATATTTTTTCTAAATTCTGGAACCGGAGAAAAACACGAAAAATTTCCAGTTTTTCTTTCTCAGTTTTGCGGTTTTGGCTAATTGACAGCCTGAAGTTTCTTAGTAAAACATAAAAGTAATGATATAAAAAATCACAGGAAAAAAGTCTTCATACAGTTACCGCAAAAAAGTTCTCAAAGCGCTAGCCGGCAGCACCTGGGGTAAAGACAAAGAAACTTTGCTGGCTATCTATAAAGCAATTGGCCGGCCAGTCGTAAACTATGCTGCACCGATCTGGGTGCCGCAAACGAATGAGACGCAGATGAAGAAGTTACAGGCTTGCCAGAACACCGCTCTCAGGACCGCGACGGGAAACCTCCTAATGTCGCCGGAGCATCACAGGGAAGCATCTATGCTGGAAGTTAAGGAGCATAATGCTGTGCTGCGCAAGCATTTCCTATTGGGATGCTACCGCACTGAAAAGCTACAACAACAACAACAACCCAAACTGTCCACAGTTGCCTTTAAATTTTGTTCCAAAATGTGTTTACTAACATAGAGGTTCATAGTACACTCTATAAAAACCAAACGTCCAACTCCAGTTGATGCCATGGAACCCAAAACACAACTCTACCATGAAGGTGGTTGATCGTAGGTGTAATATTTTTAACATCAAGTGCAGTATTTGGTTTGCTCCAAAAGCTAGATCGGTCATTATATTCAAAAATATTCTACTTACTTTCATCGGTAAAAAGCATCCATTTTAAAAAATCCATACTTTTCTTAAGATGTGTTTTGGCAAAGTCAAGTCGAAGTTTACCACTAATTAGTGCCTTTTTCGTGTTAGTATATTTCTAAATCCTTGGTGATTTTCGGATACTTGTTGGATCTCATTTTTCGACGCGAAAGCTCTCTGCGACGACCAGATCGTGGATTATTTTCGGTACTGTTTGTATTATTGTGATTTTTAAAAATACCTGGTACTGTAAAAACTTTCCGGATATTAATTACAATATTTCGAGCTGAAATCTATATTTCCTTACGATTCCCCATTTGAAATAATAAAATTTTAAAATTAGATTAGATTGTGCAGAGATACTCAGAATGAACAAATCTACAAAATGCACAGTGTATTCCCTTTATTGGTTTCACTTTTCAATTTAATGTCCGGGGCTGCTGCGTTGTATGTATACTTTTTCCCCACTGATTATTACACTATGCAATACCAAACTTCCGACAAGACTTTCGTGATCAGAAGTTGAATGTACAATAGATTCAGAAAGAGCTAAAACTTGAATTTCTGCATCATTTGTTTTGCATTCTTAGCTCATATAAGAATCTGTGATCATTACCTTGCTTTTTTTTTGCTCCAAGTGGACTTTTAGCATCAACCGTACGGAATATTGTTTGGGTATCTGAAGCAAACTTGTTGGAATGAAAAATGAACTTACTGAAAAAAAATATTTTTGGCTTCGAAAACACATTTTTGACCAATAACTCAACAAGTATTGATTTTTTCTTTATTTCGAATACAAGAAATAATTGTAATTCATTTTATTCTTATATTTGTGATAGATTCATTCTCCGCATCTTTATCATCTTCAGCAAAAGCATCAAGAACATCATCTGGTTCAGAGTCAGTAAAAACTTGTATTGGCATATATTCATTCATGTTTTCTTCATATTTGTTCAAATCCAGGTCTTCGATGTATTTATTTGCAAAATGGCTTATTTTGTTTGACCTCCAATATTTTTCTGCAAGCAATGTATCCAGTTTTTGTATCGCGTTTCCATTGACTTGGTGACCTGGTGAAAATGTTCACTTTGTTCGTCTGACTCTTGAGGCAATGGTTTCAAAAATTCATCAAGGTGAAATTGTAAAAATTGCAATTTCAATGTCATGGGTAGGCCAATTCTTCCTTTGCTCTCGCCTTGCTCTTCACGGTTGTTTCTCTAAAACGCCCTCGATAACTGCTCTTAATACCAACCATGCTTTGAGATAATCGCGCCTCAGTAAATGCATGAATTCTTGGCTTTTCATTAATTTTCGTATATTCGGTCCTTGAAGTAAGTACTTCTTTCAAAATGAAGAAATAGAATTTGCAAAAAAATTATTATTTGTGCTAAAAAATTATTAATTATATATACATTTGTATGTACATATATATCGATATGATTAGCAATTAAAAACTTACCATTTTTAATTTTTTCTATGCCAGTTTTTGAAAGGTCATTTGCTAGCAACACATCTTTGACTATCTTTTCAACCAATTTTCAACCGATTCCCAATTTGATGTGAAGTGGTGGGTGCAATATATCTTATGTGTCTTTTATCAATGGCACATTGCTCAATCTTAATCCAGTCCAAAAGGTTGTTATTGCAAGTTTTGCTAACCACGTTTGGCTTATGGTCTTTATCAGTGAAATCTAGATAATCGAAATAAAGACGATATGCTATTTTAAGCTTTTCGCTGAGAATTTTTTGTACGGGGTTTTTGGTTTCATTCGAGTTTTGAGTTTTACTTTTAAAAATGTTATTCACTCGGAATTATTGTTGTCTTTGTAGTAAGATTTAGAGTTGCTTAGAAAGAAAGAAAAAAGTTCATGTTAATTTTTGTATATAACAGATTGGTCAAAATCGGAAAATCGGGCGGTGTATGCAGACTTTTTGCCTTGACTGTACATGTATGTCTGCAAGATGAGACTTTATTTCAAAATGAAAAATTCTATTTCGAAAAGACTACCCAATGAATTATTTAAAAATAGACTAATTCTCAAAAGTTTATTGCAGGAATATGGGAAAAGAAATAGAATTTATATTTAACCACTTCGTTGAACATATATTGAAGTGTAAAAAAATATGCTTTAGTTATTATTTTGTTATAAAATGGCGATTATAAAGATCATTATTTAATCCATGTTTTTTTGAAAGGCATCCACGGATGAGACCTAGAAAAAAAACAGAAACAAAAAGTTTTGTGATCTACAAACTATGGTCTTTTGAAGTACGTACGGATTATTTTTAAACTAATTTTTGTGAAAGCGGCACACTCTTTTTTAAAAAGATTGATTTTTGTATACAAAAAGCAATTAATTATTAAAAAATATAGTTTACATTTAATCGAAAAATGGCCAAGTACTTCCAAAAAAAATGTATATGTGAAGCTACCATAAAAATTTCAGATAAATCGATGCAATATGTTTCGAATAATCTGTTCTTACAGTTTAAAAATGTGAGGGGCTGCAGCAAAATAAATAGTTCAGCTATTTGAAATATTTTTTCCACCTTAAAACCAATTGCATATCATTTCTAAGGCCCACTTCTAGAGTGGTTTCACCCCTTAAATACAGTGAAGAATATCGGATTCCTTTAGAAAATTATAAATTTTAGAGATGTTTTCAAGTGATGGTATACTTAGTAATTGAACCGGATCTTCGTTGTTGACGTGGTTAGTTTTTGAGTTTTCCAGAGCAGAACAGGAGACAAGTAGTGAGGAATGTTGACGATGGAATCACAGAAAGGACACTGATTTTGGTGACTGCCGCTCAAAAGGTGTGTTTTGGTTACGATACACCGATGCGAAGTCTAAAGTGCGAAGTAATTAAATTGGCGGACATGGTTGACAGAAAATCTAGCTTTACGCGACTTGGGTTAATCCTTGAGTAATGATGATTGTAGTATACCCAATAGAGAGATAACTCTGTACTTCTTCTATATTTGATTAGTCGGTAGATATCGCCTTTTTTGGTGGTTTATGGTAAGCTGGTGGTGGGAATGTGCATCATTTCCTTAGGGATTGCGTCCGCAATCATATTTCTACTGATAACGGAGTGACTGAGTTTGTTAGGGAAGGATATTAATACGTCACTTATGATGTGAGGAGCTGTAAGATGCTTTGGATGTTTCGGAGTTTCCAGCCGGCTGGTTTGAATGGGTGTACTTTGTACACGCAATTCGGCGTATTGTCCTTTTTTTTTGCACATTTTATTAGGTCCATCAGAACAGAGGATTCTTTCTCCCTCCAATATGGGTGTTATACTCGCCAAGTTGAATTATTTATATTCTTGTTCGGGCGATCATGTACAGGTATACCCGAGTTCGATAGCGCGGTTAATATGATGTAAAAGAAATAAATTGACTGAAACTCTCATATATTTTCTGTTGAGTAAATGAGTCCGGGAAGCGAGTCAGTAAAGTGGTTGGTATGGCTTTGAAACCTGCATTGATGTAGCGATACCAAGGACTGTAAAGCCTATCAAATTCGCTTTCAATTAGCAGTTCATATTTGATTTTGTTTCACAAGCAATAAATTTTTTAAATGCTGTCTAATTTTTCCATGATTCTTGCTTGATCAATATACAAAAACAAAAAACTTAGTCTTATCTGTTTCTTTTTTTGGCAGAGTTTGCATTTGCATTTTGAGAAAGGATCTGCATAACCTTTTCACATCATATATGAAATGCTCAGGTCTTCACAAATTCATTAGGGGGAAATGTTACACATAATACAGCTATGTGTAAGTAGTATGTACTCGTATATATGCACGTTCTATGTATATATTTACATATAAAAATATATACACTGATATTCACAATTTTTTGTTTGTCTAGTTTCGGTAGCCACTTGGCTGTGTTTAAGAATGGAGTGGGGCGTAGATAATACCGGATATAGAGTTCATTGGTCTTTTGACACAAATGGTGCCAAGTTGAGTTGGAATCGCGAGCCCAGCAGTTCGCCATTCCGTTTGACGATTGCCGTAATAAGCGGAATTTCTGCTTCTATGTAATATATGTACATGTGTAAATATTCTGAAAACTCACCACAAACCAAAACATAACTACAAATGAGGGACGATGGTATCGTTAAAGGTAGGACCGGAGTTGAGGGGTAGTTAAAGTTAATTCCTTAACTAGTGGGGCAGTATACCCTTTGATATACATGCTTCTTACAAAACAGTTTTGGTACTATTGGGTTCGTCCAAGAGAAACCGCGATTTTTTTTAAAAGAAAGTAAATAGATTTATTTTTTAACTTCATAATGAACTTTAATCAATTATGTAATCTCCATTTTGTTGGTTGACCTTTCGCCATCTTTCCGGCAACATCATTATTTCGCGCTCATAGAACGTCTAGCCTTTATCTTAAAAAAACTGAACCAAGTGCGATTTTATAGCCTCGTCATTTTCGAAAGTTTTACCATTTATTGGGTTCTGCAAAGTTCGAAACAAATGGTAGTCTGATGGTGCAATGTTAGGCTATATGGTAAATGCATCAAAAATTTTTTTTACCAGTCCAAGATGTCATATATGATAATGAATGGTCGATTTTGGTATACTTAACATCTTATCTTTGAGTGAAAAACCTCCCGAACGATAATAAAGGTTTTTCTGGAATGAGCCTGGGACTGATCTATTAAAAAAAATTGAAATTATTTCTAATCGTTTGCCTTTCATGAAATTTGGTAACTTGACTTGGGAAACACTTTCTTTCGGAAAATAGACTTGGGACCAAATCTATTCGAAACATTTTTATGTATCGCTTGATGTACATAAAATTTGGAACAGATGTAGCTTAAATTAATGTCGGGAACACTTTCTCTTCTGGGAAGTAGGCTTGGATTCGATACTTAATATTTCTTTGTCTATGTAAATGCATGCAGACATTTTTTCCGAGATCGATCTATCCCAAAAGAAACATATTTATGATGCGACTTGCCTGAAATATGAAACATACACGTAAAATGTCTTTGCCGAGGCCACCACTCGAAGTGTAACCAAATTAAAAGAGCCTCAAATTCAGTTTAGAAAATTACTTTTAATCAATTCAAAGTATAAAATTTTGGAAACTATACAAAATTCGGAAACAATTTACTTTTGCTCCTTGAGTTTACTTTGCCTTGAGACGGTCCAAAAATGAATCACAAACTGCCCGCATCTGACTTGTAGGTATTTTGGCCCACTCGCGGACAACGGCTTTCTTCACCGCATCGAGACTGGTGTATCCTTTAGTTCGGACCTTGCTCTCCGAAATGGTGTAGTGCCGGACTCTGTAATATATGGAGGACTTTTATTAATTTTTTATACTGAAGTAACAGCATTGCATTCTTTACGAGATAAT